AAATTAGTCTTTTTTATAATATTTTTTAAAAAAATTAATTTATTAATTAAATTATACTTTTTTGAGAAAATTTTATTAACCTTTAATTTTTATATTATAAATGTTTATTTTATATATATAATAATTATTAATATTTAGATTTTTATTTTTATTTATTTTATAAAACTAGTTTTGGTATTTTATTATTAAAAGTATTTTAATTTTTATATTAATTTAAATAAATTTAAAATATTTATAAAAAATTATTATTATTAAATAATATTTTTAAATTATTATTATTAAATAATATTTTTAAATTATTATTATTAAATAATATTTTTAAATTATTATTATTAAATAATATTTTTAAATTATTACTAATATATATATGTTATATTTAATAAATAATTAAATTATAAAATAAAAATAAATGTTAATAATATTATAAATTTATATATTATAAGATTATAATTTATTATATATATTAATTAATTATATTTAGTTAAATTTATAAATATTAAATTATTTATGAATTTGGATTTATTTGTAGTATTAAAATTTTATATTTTTGAAATTGAATTTTTTAATAGTTATTTTAATAGTTAATTTTATTATAAAGTAATTTATTTTTATTTTAATTTATATAATAAATATATTATTATTGAAATTAATAATAAAATTTAATTTTAGTTTTTTAATTATAATAGTGAAAATTTTAGTAATTATATTAGTATAATCAATAAATATAATTTTTAAATTTATATTATAAATATATTTTATATATTTTAAATTGTTTTTAATAAGATTTAATTAATTTTTATTTTAAAATATTGTTAATATTTTAATATTATTAAATTTCTACTTTATTAAAAATTTTATTTTAATAATTAAAGTTTTGTTAGTTATTAATTTTTTATTATTAATTTTTTTATAACAAAAAATATAAAATTTATAATTTCTATATTTTATAATATTTAAATTAATATTTTATTTTATTAAATAAATATAAATAATAATAATTATTAATATTTTAAAGATATTAATATTCTAATGTTGATTTAATATGTAATAAATATTTTTAATTGAAATTTAATTTTATAAATATAATAATATAATATAATTTTAATTATTATCCAAATAAGTATCTTGAGGTTAAGGTATAATTAAATTTAATAAAGTTATAATATGTTGAATGTGTTGGAATTATTAAAATTTTTATTTTTTGTGCCGGGGGGTTGCTATTTCGCGCCATAACTACTTATGGCGCGAAATATCGCACCCCCCCGGCACCAAAAATAAACAAATCCAACAAACTCAAACAGAACAACACAATTTTGTTCTTTTTCATACCATTTTGTTTAATAAATCAATTTTAAAGCTGGAAAATCACAAAATAAAACAAAAAAAATAAAAAAATATAAAAAAT